GTCCTTGGCCCAATGGCCAAGTTGACCGTAGTTACGACATGTGTCGTCTCGTGCTGGCTTGTGCCTGCCGGCGGCGCCGCCCTGGGCGTCTCCGCGGGCATCACCCTCGGCACGTCCTCGCGCCCCGGCCTAGGCGTCTCTGCGTGCCTTGCGCGGCTTGCCACGCTTGCGGCCGCCTGTCGCGGAAGAAGGCTCCCCCTTCTTCCGGTCACCTTGGCTGGCAAGCCACTGCTCCCGAGTGAGAAGGAGCTTTCCGCCAGTGGCGATGGGCCTCGAGAGAGACTGTGGCTCATCGTTGTCGATGACCTTGAGGCGACCTATCGCCTCCTCGATCGACATCGTGGAGAGATCCAGCAGAGACTCGATCGAGCGAGCCATCTGCTTGTACTTCTCGGGGACGCAGCGGAAGAGCTTTTCTCTCCTCGTCGTAGGTGTCATCGCCGAACTGCACCATCTTCTGCAACAGAGTGTTGAGACGGAGAGCAACGTCATCAACGTCCTCACCTGGCTTGAAGGCCAGGTTCTCCCACTCCTTGCGAAGTGCCTGCAGTGTGGACTTGCGGGCGCGGGCGCTGCCGATGCGTGCAGCAGCGATGGCGTCCCAAGCCTCCTTGACAATCCGCTTGTTGGTAAGCGAAGCGCATCTCTGGGCGGATCTGCGGCGATGAGGGCATCCGGCGCCCGTCGATCTAGGTCGAGTCGACGTCGCCGTCGGACGCCTCCCACATGTCGCACTGGAGCTTTACCCTCATCACCGCAGCCCACTCGACATAGTTGGTCTTAGTAAGGGTAGGCCACCCACCGCGGGGCCGGCGTCCCCGACGACAACTGGAGCCCGTGGGTAACCACGGCACCGATCCGGGAGAGAGAGCCACGCCGCTCGTGAAGGCCGCGCTCTCCATCGACCGTCCGCCACCGTCGCGTCGGCGCGCCTCCTCCAGAGCGCCGCCGGGCGCGTCCGCGCTGTCTGGCTGCCGCCGCGGCGCCGTGGGCGTCTTTGCGCCATCATCGCGCCACGCGCTAAATCTCCGCCTCCCTCCCGAGCAGCTCGAGGTCTGCGTCGGTATTTGTCGTCGGCGAAGCGAGCTGTTGATCTTTGCGTGCAGGTGGCCTCGGCCTCTGCTGCCGCCTCTGCTCTGCTTTGCCCGCCTCCGCCATTGCCGACCTCGGCGCCCTTGCCGCCGCCCGCTTATGCGTTTCCGCGCGGCAAGTTCGGTCTCGCCGACGCGCGCCGCGTGCTCGAGGCGACCGAGCGCTAAGACTGCCCTGCGGACATGACGCGCTACCGGGGGGCTGCTGCATAGGGAGAGGGATGCTTCAGACGGCGCAGAGGGAGAGGAGTGAGCAGGAGCGGCCGGAGTTGCTGCTGCTCCTAGCTGTGGCTGTAGCGAGGCTGGGAAAGAAGATGAGCATGAGATGCTCAGGCTACATGATAATACGGCTCTCATACCAGTTGTTAGTCGCTGAATTCTTACTCTTGGTAGTAGCAGAATTCTTACTCTCATCGAGAGAGGATGACACTAGGAGTTGGGGCAATTTTCTGGTTTATTTCTCACACAAATGTCATGCCAACCTGAGGGGTTGGAGATACATATTCATAGGCTGCTAGCCAGCCAAGCATATGTTAAGATGCTAGTCCTAGATGTTGTCCTAGATGCTAGTTCTAGATGCTAAGATGCTGTCCTAGCCAGTTAAGGATGCTGTCCTTGTGGCAGCAACAGTCGGCAGTCCCACAAAGACCAGACCAGCCAACACAACACAACGCAGAGACTTATCCATCATCCCCAACACATAAAACACTGAAGCTGGTGCCATGACCACGACCTCGACCACGAATGGCCCCTTCATCATTCATAAAGTCCTGACTTCATTTGGTTGTGATGATGAGAACTTAAAACCTGATGGGTGCGAAATCAATTAATAGCAGCATGTTACTCTATCTATGGCTGAGTTCCATGACATAATTATGATGATGCCCGGCTTGTCTTCAGCTGCTGCCAGCCATCCACATATATGATATCTCGGCTCGGCCTCTCTCTCCTTGTTGGAAAATATCTCTGGCCTGAATGCCTGATCTTGTTGCTCAACTGTGATCTACTGCTGGATCCAAAAAATAAACTGTGATCCACTACTGAACTGTGAATGCTTCTCAGTAGACCTAAAACCGGAAAATCCTTTGGTAACGTAGTAGCTTGTGATGCTGCAATCTGCACTGCACAGGCATGGCAACGTATTTCTACTCTGAATGTCAAGAGATGTACTGACGATAGTGGAAAAGTCTAGGACAGATACTAATACTAGTTGTAAACAATGCAGAAAAGGATCTTGGTTGCCGACCATGAGTCAGGAAGGTGACCTTGGTTGCCATGCCTGGCCGGAAAGTCTGCGCAGGAAGCCTGTTGCGGCAAGGAAGGCATATCCTGACTGACTGGGCAACGAGCTACAGTAATAGGCCGCGCAGGGTGCAATGTGACGCCTCCGTGCGCCTTTTGCAGGCACACCGTCTCCGGGCAGGATCTGCAAAAGCAGATCGCAGTGGGGGGGAGAAGAAAGCACGAAGCAGAGGGAGGACCAGTGCTGCCTGCGCGGTGTCGTGTCATCGTGTGGGCGCCTGCATGCTCGTGTCAATTCATTCGCCCGTCCGCTAGCCCTTCCACGACGATGGGTTCAGACTTCAGAGACAGGGGCGGCAGCGAGATGGGAATGGGATCCATCGTTGTCCTCCGTCGCTGGGGAAAGATCGCAACTCGCGTAGAGCCCTCGATTGATGTCGTTGGATCCGTCCGTCGGCATGTTTTGATTCCTGGTCCTAACTGTGGCATGTTATTATTAGAATTAATAAAGAAGATGATCGAGACAAGGTGTGCTAATAAGGTGCCTTTTCTGTCTATGGATCTATTAGCACCTATGAACAAGTGAGATGGTGTATGTGCTAAACAGGAGTAGTTAGCAGCATGCTAAAATTAGTAAGATCCAAACAGTCCTCCTCAGTATATGGTGAAGTAGATGTTGTGTTAACTATAAAAGCAGTCTTCGTAATCATACCGTTTTCCGCTGCCAATGATGAAGCACGTGATTCAAGTGAATACGTGTAGCCAGAAAATCAAGTGAGAAAATGAGAGGGGGGGGCGCGGGAGGGATCATCATCATGCTAGATCATCGTGCATCTACGTGAACGTACTAGCATCAACCATAAATCGGTTTCTCACTCTCAGTAACGAAGGAGTTCATATATTTCCCCCAGATCGTGTGCATGCTGTAGGGTACTCCAGAATGGACACTTAAGAAGTCATGCCACGATAAGGTCACCTCATTTTCGGTTTTCTAAAGTCGTTATCTCAACCTGAGAGGATTTTAGATTTTAAAGTTGTTAAGAATGCCATGGGTTCTTTTATCTCTATCACACTCTGTTCTTTTAATAATAGTAAAAGTTTTTTTCTCTCTTTGCAACACATTAGTATCTATATCTATACATCTTATATTTTCAAACCCACTACAAGTCTTATCTCAATATGCAACCATATTATTTCTCGCTAACTACTCACATCATCTCCCATGCAAGACATCTATATCATCTCCACTAAGTGCAATTATTATTTAATATATAAAAAATATACAAGGAATTCATTATTACTATTTGTTTTGTCGTTCCATCATCTTATAATTTGATCTAATTTTTTTAGGTTTTTTTGTTTTTTGAATTCGATGTCCAATTTTGATAAGAATCAATGCAAGAACAAGTAGATCTAACTCATACATGTACATGCAACATTTTTATTTTAAAAAAAAATCCTGCGGCCTTTTCTAGTATATAAAAATAAAAGGTGCTCACTCTGCTAGTGCACAATTCCCATAACACCGTTTTAAACTGCATTTACAAACAGACAACTAATGTAAACCAGCAGTGGCGGAGCCTGAAGTAAATTGTAGGAGGGGCCAATTTGCATCTGAACAAAAAAATATACACAAGCATCTTCCAATTTTCTTGTTTTCTTCCTTAAATTGGCATAGTGCTCCACAAGTAGCAGCTCAATACCTGCTTTCTCTCTCATCAGTCGAGTATCATCAGAGACACCACCCTTTTCTCTTCTCTTGCATGGCCAGCCAAGGCGTTGCTGCTCAATCGTCTTCTCTTCGTTCTTTTATCCTCCTCAAGCCAACAGCAGCAAAGCCACATCCATTCTGATTTACTAGTCTTCACAAAATTCTCGGTGGCAAGGGGGGGCCGTGGCTCCACCTATGTAAACCAGGGCGTGCAAACCGAATCAACAAAACATACACTGCAAAATACAGGTAACGATTCTAATACCATAGGGCCTGAGGTCTCTGTTCATAAACAATACAGTAAAAAAAAAGAGAATATCAACTCACTCTTTCTAATAACTCTTAGAAATAAGTAGAGGCAACGCCTCGTTACGTGACCATAGCGGCAAGCCCGAAAGCCTAATAAGAAACAGAAAACAGTGAAGATCAATTCTTTTCTGGTTGAAGTCCACACAGAAGCAATGCATGAAACTGGAATCTCACCTTTTTTTTTTTTTTTTTTTGATAAACGTAATCTCACTATTGGCAATCTCGTGAAACATACAAAATGGATAACCAGTATATTTCAAAAAGAAAACTACATTCTTACTGTCAGCTACAGCAATGAAACTAACTAAAGCTATATATTATACATTGCACACTATTGCGGGAAGCATCAATCCTCATTTGTTGGATCTGTTTCTCCTAAAAAGAACTAGTGGTTTGACGAGGTCAGGCTATCCTACCAGATTGGGCAAGGCAAGCAGACTTTACAAAAGGCGCTTGAGGTAACACCAGCATCATATATGCCAGCGGGTACCAGCAATCACATGTAGCGTCTTGCATGTTTGGTTGTACAAACTACAGAAGCTTATGCTACATCACCAACTGAACCACCATGGCCGCCTACCATATACCGGAAATTAGTAAGCACCAAGCAGTTTTGGTGCGTGCGACAAAGGTGCCAACCTTCTGTTTCATATGTAGATAGGTTTCACATCGTTAACACCGAAGCTTAGTCCACAAGATGGACACCTCTTCTGACGGCTACCAAGTGACTTCTGTATGCACTGATTACAGAAGAGATGGTAGCATTTGGCAATCACAACCTACAAACAGAAAAATCATCATTCGATTAAATATTCATTTATATTGTCAGTATACCAGGAACAACTAAAGACTACGTACCTCTTTCTGCCTATCATGACAAATACCACACTTTAGTATTCCCCTGTACTCCTTGGCCTCATGGAGAAGTTTTTGAAGGACTGCTGAATTATCTGTCTTCTCTCTTAGAGAATTAGCTTTACTTGACATTAGATCCAAATCATCCTCTATTCTCTTTTTACTAAACCTGGAGAAAAACTGATCTTGTTAGACCAAACATTAAGAAATCAGTTGCTAAAATAAAAGGAAATGCGTGTATAAACCACCTCTCCTTCTCTAGTTCTATAAGCAGCTCAGCAACTACCAGCCGATTGCTCCCAACCTTCGCTTGTAGAACATCCATTGACTGCCTGAGCTTTGGAGCTTCTCCATGCATACCAGCCAGCTTTCTTTGAGAATTGCCCAATGAAATAGACTGCTGCATTCCATCCTCTGACAGTCTCCTCAACCGCTCTGACCAACCTCTTAGCTAGAAATTCATAATTTTCAATATTCAGATCTCCAGCAAGAATAGTATAGCTCTTCAGTATGAATGTGCCACCAACCTGGTCCTCTAGGCGGATAATTTTCTGGTTACACAGATCCATCAAAGTACTTGCATGCTGCAAATTTCTTTGCAACGAGCACACTTTCAAATGCAAAGCATCATGTGATTGTTTTGCTTTAACACCCTCCATGAAAAGCTGCAGTAGCAATTAGGTAATTAAGATACTACGTCAACATCCACTGAAAAATGGTATGATCCTTATTCCTTACAGTTCCATACATTCAAAACAACCTAGGTCTAACTTCAGTTCACATAAGTAACCAAGCTTCACTACCAGTGAAACCCCAACAAAATCACACTCACTTCATGATCACAACAAAATTAACTCAACTATAATGCCCTAAGCATATCATTACAGTATGCTAAGACACCTTAAACAGATTATTTGCAAAAAAAAAAAAAAAAAAAAAACTAAGCAATAATCCATATTAGTTTTCTCAGGGCCATTGTAACACTTAAGTGCAAGAAGCGTGTTCGGCTCGGCTTGTCTCAGCTTGTTTCAGCTTATTCTCTCTCACAGAACACTATTGAATCAGCCAAAACCAGCCAGAACAAACTAGTACACAGTAGTCTTGTGTACCAGCCGAACGAGCTGCGACTAGCACAAGTTACAAAAAGGGAAAATAAGAGAAAGCAAAGGGAAGTAAAAGATGTTGACTTTGCTCCTACTTCAATAAAATGGCTAACAGTTCTCCTGTGCATTCAATAAAAACAGAACCAGCACAGGGTACAATGCACTCTTTTTGCTTTACACAATGCTACAATCTGTAAAATCAAAATGCAAAATACACATGCCCATTTTCACGAAGTCAACCTTTTCCATTACTTCATTAAAAATGTAGGTCGTTTTTATTTTGTCTTGAGTCAAATTTCCTAACTTTGGCCAAGGGCACAGAAAAACACATCAACATCTACAAAATCAAATTAGTTTCATTATATGCACCACGAATGATCGTGCATTTATTTGGTATGTAGATGCTAATACATTTTCCTATGAACTTGGTCAAAAAAAAATAAGTCTGACATAGGACAAAACTAAAACAAACTACATTTTGGAACGGAGGGAGCATTCAACTTCAAATCAACGCAGGTTGCCAAATTCCTTTGGCCAAGAAACTATCTCCATAGCAGGTATTACAAATCCAGGAAACCACCATGGTTTCTATACAACAACAACAACAAAGCCTTTTAGTCCCAAGCAAGTCGGGGTAGGCTAGAGTTGAAACCCACCATGGTTTCTATACAACAACAACAAAGCATTTAAGTCCCAAACAAGTTAGGGTAGGCTAGAGTTGAAACCCAGCAGCAATCAAGGTTCAGGCATGTGAAAAGACTCACCACTCATGTACTCAGTATTAAGTTTTGATTCCTAGTTTGGTCTGAAATAACAGCCATCAGAAGTATCTAGTTCTACAGTCAGGAAAAGTTGAAACACTGCAACTCTGGTCTCTGGATTCCATTATAAGGGCGTACCCAGTGCAGAGAGCTCCCGCTCTGGATTTCATTATGCTTCATATATTTGCTTTAATATGTAGCTTTTTTTAATTTGATCGGCATGCTCAGAGCACGCTCTCACATCTTCTTAATGGTCTGGCAGTAATCCTTCCTATGGCTTCCATGCCATACATTCCTCCTTTTGCTTATTTTAAGGCGCCAAATATAAGAAACTCCTTAACCACTGATCCTAAGCTACAATATCACACTTTTTTTTAAAAAAACACTGAAAATCTCAACACCATGCCTGAATATGCAGCAAAATCTAAATCCAAAAGGCTACAAGAAGCACCCCTATTAATTCAAAAACTATGGATGGCATAATGAATGCATGGACTCTCTGGCAGGATGCCAAGCCACCAAGGTGACATTTTTGTACAAGGTGCTGTATCAAGCATGGCACGGTGCAGTTGGCACCCAAAAGTTGGGGAAAACCGCCTTACCTCCTTTCATCCTTTTCAAGGCAGATTCTTGGGCGCGGGGTAACCCACAACCCAAGTCTCTTCGCCACCCAGACACACCAGTCAACCCAGAAAACTGGCCCCTTTTTCTGCTGAACTCAATGGTGACCCTCCATCCCCACCTGATGTCCCTAGCCATGGTGATCCCTTGTCCTCAGTATCCCTCTACTTATTCTTCCTTTAGATCATCTCATTCCACCAAACTATCTTCTAAATTGTTCCTCTCGCCTGTTTTTAGGAGGATAAGAATTGAATTGGATAGTAGCATAGCCATAGCCCATAGAGATGTGCGTTGATGCAGCAAAAATAAAATGGATGCATTAGTCAGAGTAACAATGAAAAAATATTTCACATAAAGCGATTTAATGGGGGTGGAAAACAGGACCTCTTCTTAAGGAGTAAAGAATTAAAGTAAAACTATACAGGAGTCATAAACAATAACACGGAGAGAACAAATCAACAAAAATTAATTGATTAAATCGGTTCTTTGAATCATCACCTTGGTATTATGATCATCTCTTTCAATAATCTGCTGTAGCAATTGTTGATTTTGTGACATTATGTCTTCATAGGCATGGCTAATGCTCTGTAGTAGAAAATAAAATTTTGAGGCCTGAAAATATAATATTGATAACCATGGTCGAAAGGTATTACATGGAAGATTGTCCACACCTCGATCTCCACCACGTACGCTTCACATTCTTCATGTTTAGACTTCAGTATATCAGATTGTTTCACTAGATCTCTGAGCCATAGAAACCCAGCACTTGATATCACTTTACTTGAAAATTTTATAAAAGAAAATATGCCCCTGTACTATTTCAACAGTCTTGAACCCACCCAGTATAAAAAAATGGAGATAAATTGTCTTTTCTGACTGTGTTTCTAATTTCTAAATGATAGCAGGAAGAGTGAATAGATGCATGAATACCTCCTAGAAGTTTCTAGCTTCTGCCCTAATTCAGCAATCTCAGCTTCAGCAGTTGCCAGTCTCTGCTGAGAGATTGCTTCAGCTTCATTGGCTGCAATTACATGCTGCTCTAATTTACTTTCATTAAGAGAATATTTGAGAACGTGGACTCGAGCCCATTCAGCGAGTTCCCTATCTCTCGATTCCATCAGCTGTCTGCCACAAGAGAGTAAGACATGTGAATATAGCAGAAACTCGTACCCAAAAATGAACTGGAGAGTAGACAAGCTGAAATGCTCAGTTAAGTATTTTCATCACTAAAATAGGAGTAAAATTACCACAAAAAAAAGAACTGCAATAGCTAGCGTGATAGACACAGGCCAATGGGACTAAGGATGAGCTACAAGATATAACATGCCAAAAACGAGTAGCATGCAACCCACCCCACCCCCAGAAATGTCACCCTTAGAAGTTATTCCACAATTTGATTACGACATAAGATGAACCTACCTGGAATCAGTGGACTCATGCTTATACAACTCCACAAATAGCTTAAGCTCCTGAGTATTTTCCCTCAACTCACGGACCTACGATATGTAAAATATGTTAATATAAATAAAACGATGGCATGAACAAATCATGCAGTAGGTGCATTGCACCTTTGTAACCAGTACAGAAAATATTAAGTTTTCAAGGTACAAAGAAAATCCAAAAGGAAGATGCTTACCAGAGATTGAAGTTGGCTTATATCAGATCCAGCATGGGCAGATCTACATGACGTTTCTTCAATTTCTTGTTCCTAAAAAACAAAATGTAAAAAATTGACATATCAGCAAATCAACTCCACTTGCCCACTGACCGTGCAAACTAACAAAATGGAACTTACCTTTCTAGTTCGGATACTAGAAAGTGAATGAACTTCTGCTCGCAAGGAATGCAACTGTAAGGAAGCATCCTTGTGTTTGGAGAGTTCACTTTGCACAGCACCCATTTCCCTCGGTAGTGATGACACCAGAGCTTTAAATTCCGAGATAACCTGGTTCCGACCTGACAGATAAAAAAAAGAATATTATTTCCAGCTTTGAACAATGACCCGATAGAAAAGTATTTCAAACTTGCTGTGTTGTGATTACAGCACCAGGTTCTCTCGAAGCCTCTTCAAGTTTCAGCACAAGCATATTCTTTTCATTACATAGTTTCTGCACATCCTTTTCAAGATCAGCAATTCTAGATACACAGTATGCAGAAACCTTCTGGGGGATTTCAGCCAAATCAACCTTTTGATTAAATTGCCTTTCTCTCCAAACAAAGGTATCCATCTCAACCTGAAACATGGAAAATTGAAGTTTAACCAAAGATCAGATCTTGGGAAACAAATCTGCTATACAGACATGCAAATGCACTGACCAGCAACCACCTGTAATTTCTCTAACAATGTTTGATGATCATCAAGTTCTGCTTGTGACTTCTGAAGTTGGTCATTGACAAGTTGAAAAGCTTTGGAAGAGCGAATGCTTTTGAAATCCGTCAGTATATTCTGGGAGCAGCAAAACAAGGTTAAAAAGGACATATTATGTTTGACATTACAAAGTCTAACCTTCAACCACACAATAAAAATTAGGTATGGGAGTCCAAAATTATGAAGCAATGTGTTCTGGGTTGATCGTGTATATTTGGTTCAACGAACCTGAAAAGCTGCTAACTTGTTCAAAATTTCAATTCTCTCTGTATGCAGTCTTCTAATTTCCTCCAAACGCTTTGAAATCAACTCCTGCTCATATTAGTGTGCAAGCTTAAAAGTCCATACACATCTAGCATTCTAGACAATAGTCTGGAGCTCTAAAAATAAGAACTTGATATTACCATTAACTCCTTGTGGGTAGCTTCAAGATCTTGCAGTTCTGTTTGTTTATCTCTCACCTTTTCTGCAGTCATATTTTTGTTTCCCAGCGTAGGAACAAGGATCGGTGTTGCTTGCTTATTGTCTCCCTGTGCTTTCAGTACTGCCAGTTTTTGTTTACTTCCTTCCAACTTGGCAACAACACTAGTCAACTCCTCTTGAGAAGTACATAAATACTGGGTTAGTTTACCATTACACGACAGCTAGGTACACATAATAGAAGAAAACATAGTATCGGTATGCCATGTGTTGGCAGTGCCACTGCAAGAAACAATCGATTTACAGTTTCACAACATAATGAACTTATTATTGCCACAAGGCATTCACCATTTTAACTGAGATTAGTATTAACTTGTTTGATGATCTTGCGAAAAAAAAAAGAACACAAATACTATTAGAGATGGAACCCCCTCAAAAATACCGTCCACAAAACAAATACAAAATACCTTTCAGACGTTTCTGTTCAGCTCTGTTCCAGGCATTCAAATCTCTTTGTTTTTGATAGTTCCCTGCTAACTGCCTGTGTTTCAAGTGAAGATTATCTACCGCACACATCACCACATGAAGCTTGGATAACACATCGCTGGTAGCACTGTGCAATTGACTGCTGTGTTCTAGAGAACATGAGCAAATTAAGGAAAATTTTAGCATACCTTAAATGACACATGAAAGCTATTCTACAACAGAAAATATGGGGCAGAACAAACCATTTTCTGGCAACTTCGTGAGAGCAGCAGAAACAAACTCGTTATTCACATGCCATGGACCATTTGATGGAAGGAATAGCTTCTGCAGAATATCAATTGTTGTTGATTGTTCTGAAGAGACGTCATTTCCTAGTTGGCAAGTGGGAGAACCTGAACTTTCTGTGGCACCAGCCTCCAAAAGTCCATTTAAAAAGTCTGTTTCTAGGCGAAAGCATATACCATCCGACAAATAAGATGTGCATGTATATGAAGGACAAACGAAAAAATAAGACACATCTAAAGTAGACAATATAAATCAGCAAACGCTATATAGTAGCCAGCTATTCAAATAAATAATTTATCTGTTAACACTCATCAATTGGTAACAGCTAGTTCTGGAGACATGCATGTAAATCTCTTGTCATAAATTTACTTTCAAAAGAGAAAAGAACTACAAACACCTCAAATAGAAAATGTTTCAAAATACTACTACTTCGCTCCATTAGTAGAAAGAAGTATAAGCAACCAGCAGCCAGCGACATCATAGAATCCTTCCATGTATGATTCTAGAACAATGCAATATCCAATATATACGTAATGCATAAAGTATAATTCCATACCCTTTCGTACATTGTTGTTCCCTATACTGCAGCTTGAATGTGAAGATTCACTTTTGCAAACAGGAACTATACCCAGATCTGCTACGAGCTGTTTGGACAAGGGAATTTCAGCAGAGAGCCTATGATGTATATATATGTTACAGTAACATGGGCAAGGTTAGAACAACTTACTCGCTCCCAATAACTTTTGACTAGGACAAGTGTCTCATTATGTGTCTTCTGTTTCTCTTTTAAATCATTAAATCTACTCTCAAGAGCATGGAACTCAAATTTGTGGACTTCCAGTTGTTCCGCAAGCTTTTGATTTTTGTATTTAAGCACAGCAAAATCGAGCTGCCAGAAAGGAAACATAAGATGCTGGTGCAGCACAACTATAAACTAAAAACAAACACTTTATAAAAAATATAAAATAGTAATTCCAGTGCAGATAGAACATCATAGACCAACACATGAGCACCTTCAATTTTCAAACCTCAAGAAATGCAAAGATCCTACAGATACCTTCAATTAATTAATACTGTTTTTTTTTGTCGCACATGCAATATGGTTTCTTAAATTGAAAATACAAAAATATTAGACAAAATTACATCAGTTTTGAACATATGTGAAATGTGCACCGATGCTAATCAGTAATGAGAGCGAAATCACAGTATTATTTTAGTTGGAATAGTAAGATATCATGTAATGTAACTTCAACAGCTAAACATACTTGAGTAAATTTTGTTTGGTACATACTTGCATCATAGATAGACGTGCAACAGATCTTCACAGCTCTTTTCATGTGCTAGGTTTTGTGCATTGTAATTTGCAGCTTGCAATGTATCCAAATAAAAGATCATTGATAAACTGTATGGTTGTAGATAAGAAAGGAGTTCCCAGATGACTTCTTTAATGCTTACAGCGTGAAATAACTTTTTGCAGATAGATTATATATTTCTTAGTATTATGATCATAAGCTGAATCACCCAATGGCTATATCATTGGTTTATTAATGGCTCATCTTACATCACAGGAGTGAGATAATTGTCGTAAGTCACTTTTTTTTTTCTCGAATATGCAGGAGATCCGTGTATCAATATATTAAGAAATTGTCGGAAGTCGCTCAGTAAAAATGAAATTTATTTCATGGTAATCATGCTGTAATCATCTATTACCTGATTATTTTGTTTTACAAGACGGGGAAGTGGGGTAAAGGTTACAATAGTATGCCCATATTGCTAGTGCTAATCCATTGCTCCATGATTTTGTTATAGCTTTATTAATCAGGTAGAGTACAACAAGGTAAACTCATTGTGGTTCCCTCATTAGGATTTGAATATGCCAAACCATTACACTTAAGGTAAACTTTTGGGTAACTACATCACATAATAACCTCTCTCAAGTACCAGGCTGCGCAAAATTATACCTAATGTATTTTTTTACAAATTTATCATAAGGTAACTATTCTTTAGAAGTAAATGTAATAACATGGAGCGCATAGTTTCATTTTTCCTTGCAGCAAGGAGTCAAATAAGATGCAGCAACTAAACAAGCAGAAAGCATAGAAAGACAAAAGGTGCAGAAGACTGTACAGTATACAGCTGTTTCATTTTCAGTAAACTACTACTAGGAAAACCTCGCAAACCACAGAAAATAATTGCTCATTTGTACTTACCGGACGAGACATAGCAATGTTTCTGGGATCTTGCACGTGGAGGCAAGTTGACATTCAGCTAAGTTTGAACTGCCTAAGATTTGTTATGATTTGAGAAAGGAAAGTACATAAGTATGAACTTTGAACTCTAGGAGCGCCAACAAAATCCGTTTCCAACCAGTGCCTGTGCATGGTGATGTAGAGTGTTAAGAGCACTTATTTGGCTTAGACCTTAGAGAGGTACAGGAGCTTATAGTAAGTTCAAAGGACTGACAAGATGCACATGTATTATGTAATTCACCTGTCTTCAAGAGGCATGCCACCTGCCCCCGTTTGGGCGGTGGTGGTGATTGAGTAGGCCCTCCGCACCACAATTCGTCATCCACCTCAGCACTGTCTAAACCATGTGGTCATAGGATGCTGGGAGGCAGAGTGGCAGGATCTAGAGTTTGATCTGTCACATGATTTGGATTAAAAACATGGTATTAATTAATTGGTCTCATTAGCAGACATGATTTACAATAAAAAAATATAGCTAAAGCATTTTTTTCCATCTCTGAGCACCCTTAGTGCTTTGTTCTGGAATTTTTAAGTCTTTATTAATGTGCAAGAAAACCATGTGTTGGGACAGAACATATAACAAGATAAATATAAATGAATTGATTGAGGCAGTTTCTAGATTTCACATAGCAGATAAATTACATTTGAAACCAAGCATTCAAAGACAAAATGAAACACTGCAATTTCATCCAAACTGTATCTTCTAGTAGACTCATGGGTCAAAAGCTCAATAATCTTTAGCAAAAATATAGCATTTGGTTCTATACACTTACAGATACCGGAATATTATATTATGCCTAAATCCTCCAAGGTTCATTGTCATTTTATCAAAAGTTCTCTTATAAAGATAACTATTGCTCAAATTGCCCCTTGAAGCTGTATAATGTTTGTTCCAGTATTTCATCCCTTAGTTTGCTTGACATGTACAGTGTAATGGGAACAAAATACCTATCATGTCTCATTTCAGTAGTTTCTAGGATTCTTGTGAAGTTCATTTAGAAACTTTGTGTAACAAAATTACAAAAAGAAATCTTTATCTAAAAAATATATAGTTTTCTTACAAAAAGAATAGCAGGCTATGCAAATAACATTACTTATCCAGTCAAATGCATCCTACTTGTGATCCAATTTCTTCAGTAGCAGGCATAGGCCCAGTGGACAATGTTGCACCCCATGAGACCCATCCAGATCAACCGTGGCAACACTCGGGATACCAGGATCAAGGTACAGGGCTCTGGCAACATTGTTAGCCATGTGTTCCTCCTCTCCAATAGCCACAGCAGGTTCACAAGTTCAAGCATTCCAGCTGGCAACCGAGTCAAAAACTCTTATAAGTTGGACCGCCTCGACTCGTGGGGCAGAGGACGGGCAACTAGCGCTCGGCATCGAGGCTGCTTCCGACTCATGCCGTGATTCTTCATGATAGGTCAATGTAGATCCTTTGCATGCCCCTTCGCATCCACTGCGCCTCCAAGCCCACACCCTTCAACTCAAGAAACAGGGAACCCAAGGCGCCGGGAATGCAACCATGGCAGAACATGCAAAGGGACCGAAACAGCCACCCTGAATTCCAGGGCCACGTCCACGATAGGCAAGGCGCCGCCAGTAGCATGCACCAACGGACCCTGTGGCTGGAATCCCAGGGCGTTATCAAGACATCGAGATGCTTGTTTGGAATGTCGCCATCTACGCCGCAGACGTCCGCAAGGGTTTCAACTCATCGGCCATGTTGGCGGCAAGGTGTATTAGGAAACATATAAATGGGTGTGTTTGTCTTTTTAAGGGCTTTTCGCCTAACCTTGATGCCATCATGCGGGTTATTAGAGATGAGGCCCAAGTTGTGGTGTATGGCGGGAGCAAGGGACACCATAGCATATGGCCATGATGGTCTCTCTTTCTTGGTCGCTGGTTTGCTTTATTATCCGTTTGGCGAGTCCTTTCCGTATTGCCCCTATTAGGGGTTGTACAAGTCATCTAGACTCCTTTTTTTTTCCTTTTCTTCTGTAATCCAAAAAATAGACTCCTTTTCTTCTTAATATAATTAATATAATATAATGCGGAGTTCTCCTGCATGTTCTGTTATAAATGGACATTCATCGTCCGTTATTTCTGAATGAAATTTCAGGCTCTGGTACATGTTTGCTTTTTCCCTTGGATTCGCTTCCATTACCAAGTAAACCATCTCAGTACATAGCTTGAAGTTTGCACATCTATTGAAGGCAGGGGCGGACTCAGTAAAGGGCATGGGTGTATACATGTACACCCAATAATTTTTGCAAAGCAATCGAAGTTAGTTAGTAGTCATAATATATGCATATACACCTGTAATTAGATTCAGATCCGATTACGAATAGTATGTTAGGGTTTGGGCGCACGGTTTTACCTACGAATTACGTTAAGGTTTGGGCGCACGGCTTCGCACAGCAGAAAGGGAGGACCAGGGGGAGGGAATACCTGGTGTCCTGTTGGTGCTTGTCGCCGGCCAAGGTGGCGAGTGGCGAAGTAGGACAGCAGCGACGGTCGCGGGGCCACCGGGGCTGGGGCGGACGCCGCGCCGGAGCTGGTCGCGAGGACGCTGGACCCTAGGTGGTGCTCGACCGAGCGCAGTCTCCTCTTCGGGTTGCGGCGCGGCGAGCGGATGGAGGAGATCGGCCGCGGGCGAGACGAGTTCAGGCGGCGGGCGGTCGAGCCAAGGTTAGAAAAAGCGCTAGGCGGTAGACAGTGATCAGGTTCAGGCGGCGGAGGAGAGGTGGCCGAGGAAGAGCAGTATGGGAGGAGGAGCGTAGGAAGGGAAGGAGTGGCGACGGAGGAAGAGGAGCGGCGGCGGCAGAGGATGCGGCGCTGGGAGAGTCGGAGGTCGCGGGGAACGGGTGAGCACAGAAAAAACAGAAGAAAGGGTGTGAACGACAAATTGGCCCAGATGTCATATGAGATATTGAACGTGAGATTTTCTCGTTCCATTGAAGACGAGGTCATTTAAAACCCTCAAAACATACTCGTACTTCTACCCATAAGTAATTTTAGGGTTAAGATTTTCTCCTAGTGCAGGAGCAACACCAATAACCCATGCTTCTAATTTGAGCAGTGGGAATAAAAAAAATAGTTTCAAACAGACCTTCTACTAAACCCCTAGATTTGCTGCAGCTACCCATTCATGTTGGCCCCTACTCTGGGCTACCCAAATATGTTTTCCCCGACGCGGCTTCTTCTCCAACGAAAGCGCTTGGCGCGGCTTCTTCCCAAACGGCGCTGCTAGCCCCGGCAACAGTGCTCTTTCCATCGCGGCGGGCGGTTCCCGACGCTGACCTGCCTTCCCTAGGCCGCTCCTCCCCGCCGGCGTCCGCCCTTCCCACCGGTGTCCGCCCTTCCCCAGCGCGGACCAGCCTTCCTCAGGCGCGCCCCTTCCCACCGACATCTGCCCCCCCCCCTGCTGCCTCTGCTTCGTGCGTGCAAGGAAGAAGAATAAAGGATGACATGTGGATCACATGTGTCATTCTCTCTTAGGATAGTTTTGGAGTCTGTTTTAGGTAGTATTACTGAATCAAACAAGAAAAAATAGGTAGTATTGAAATAGGTGGCTAATAACGAGTGGATGGCATGTGGATCCCACATGTCATTCTCTGTCTCGCAACAACCTCTCTCTCGCCACCTCCTCCCAACCGCTCGTGGATCTTCCTCTCTACCTCTGTCACCATACCTTTCCTCTTCATATCTCAATTTCGTTACTCGCTCGTGTCACTTATCTCTTTGTTGATTCCATGCCATGTTCCCCTCTCTAGCCACCTCTGCGTAGGATTGGGAAAGTTTCTTGGTGACGGAACCCTAACCAGCTTGCACGTTGTGTGACCAAATCTATTTACTTCTTCTCTACTTGTCGAATAAAGTTCCTCCTCAGCCCATTCGGTCTAGGCTTCTAAAATTCTGCTCCGAAAATATAAAGTATATGATTGTTTATATAGGCTACTGAAGATGTTCTTAGTAGATTTATAGTAAAAGGGATGGCTTATATCATGTTTTACATGGTTCTTGACTTTTCTTACTCACTTTTTTTATTCCACGCTAGCTAATAACGAGTGTGAACAAAAATTTATGGTGTGAACTTACAAATTTCGTGGTATGAACTTATGATAAACTATCTCATCTATCTATGATATTTTAGTTGCCTGATTTTTTCTATGTAACATGCAAATTTTTATTGTTTGGCTAAGATAAAAATTATGAATTATTTCTTGAAAGTTATCATTTTAATTATAGTAGGTGATTGTATAAAACTTTCTAAAAATTCAGCCATCTAAAATGCAACTACCGTATTTTTGTGCAAAAGAAGCCATAACAATTCGATGGGTTCATCAAGGGATTTTTAACTTTTTGCCATTCTTACAGATGGCACTCCTTCGTTTGCTGGTTTTGTGTGTGCTTCTACATAATTGCTATCACAAACAGTAAATCTCCTACGTTTTCCCACTTTTGCTGACGTGGCAAGCCAGGTAGGCATACCAGCATGGCAGCGAGCCTAGGAATCTCTACAAAACATGCGAAATGGCCTATTTGCCTTTGTCGCTCTCTCCTTCCACTCACTTAAGTATGGGACCCACATGTCAGCTTCTTCTTCAACCTCTAGCTCTGGCTGACCACCGCTCCGGCTGTTGCGGCCTCTATGCCCTGACCACCGCAGCCCTCTCCTGGCGCGCTGCTCAACCAGTCCACGTGTCGCGCCCTGCTGCTGCGTCCGTCGTCCGTGACCGCTTGCCTAACGCCGTCGCGCTGGCACGTTACTCCGTGGTGCCATGGCAGCTCTATATGTATGCACGAACTTGTAGCGCTCGCTCGCTCTTGCTCGCACGCATAGGATGGTCCTAGGCAGCGCCCATCGCCGCCACCACCACGAACCGCACCGTTGCCGCCGTCGACGAGCGGCTGGCTTGCCTCAGTAGGCGGCCCTTTCGTTTTCCCAAAGGTTCATGGTTGCCATGGTGCCCATGCACGACGACGCGCAAGGCCATGGGATCGCCTTCGCGCTGGCGCCATCGCCAATGGATAGCCTGAGCTCCGTCGCTCGCCCTGCGCTGCGAGACAAGGTCGTCGGCTGTACGCTCTGCATTTGTGTCGATGGGCCGCCTAGCTGCTCACCGATGCCGAGCGCGCACGTATGCCGACGGGCATCCTTGTTGTTCACCTCTGATGCTGAGACACGCTCACACGACGACGGGTGGCCTCGCCGTCTCGCTGTGGGCAGCCTTGGTCGCTCCGCGGCGGCTCGCCGGGCCCGCTACATGCTTTGCACGCACAACTAGGGAAGATCACGCAGCCTCCATTATGCCGTCGCACACGAGCTGGCCTCCGTGGTGCCGTCGCACACGAGCTGGCCTCCGCGACGCTGCTCGTAGTCGCAGCCAACCACGCCGTGCACCTCCCATGCTCAGTAGCGCTCGGATCCCACCCGTGTTCCTCTCCGCGTTGCTATGTGACTGCAACTAATGCCGTGACGCCATTCGATCGCCACCACGGCCGAGTTAGCTTACCATAAGTCAAGCGCTTATTAATTATTATTGACGTAGTAGTACTGCGATCTATCGCCGAGCTCTAGATGGAGTTTAGTGGCAGCTTCTATGCTGTTTTCTCCTTCGTCCTATCCCAACGCCATCACAGCCCCCGTCACCTCGCTCATCCACGCACGCACGCTGTCTTGCCGAGGCCATGCACGATGCAACCAAGCATTAGCCGTCGCCCAAGCTCGTCCACTGTAGCCCCATGACCACGCCTTGCCCACCTAGTTGGCTGGAGCTCCTCCTCTTCCCTCAGCTGCATAGTGATGGCGGGAGGTTGAAGAAGAAAGTGACATGTGGAGCCCATACGCCAATGGGTGGAATGAGAGAAGTAGTAGGGGTAAAAAGGTCATTTGACATATCCTATAGAGGTTCTAGGCTCACTGTTATATTGGCATGCTCACCTGGCGTGTCACATCAACGAAAGTGATAAAAATATAGAAGGTTTACCCTTTGCGATGGAAATTATGCATGAGCGGACAAGTACCGTCCGTAAGGATGGAAAAAAAAACCCGTCCATCAGCGGTAGGCGACGCCAGGGACGTACTCGCCGTCCTGCACCCTTCTCAGCTTGGTCGCCTGGGCTGCGCCCTCCGGTGAACGTGAATCACCAGGCCGGTCCTGCCCCCTCGCGCCGCGTTTCCTGTTGTTAGCCGCGGCGGCGCCAGGCGCCGAAGCCATGTCGAGCAGCACCCGCGCCTGCTCAATCAACGTGTCCAGCCCGGCGAACTCCCGCTTGGCATGCTCCATGAGCGCGAAGTCCTCCCGCTCCAGAGCGTCCAGAAGCTCGCGCAGCTGCCGGCGGCTCAGCCCGGCCAGGTACGACGTGACGGCGCCGCGGGGGCGGGGGCCCGGCGCGAGGAGCGACGCGGCGTGCGTGGCACCCTCGACGCCCACGGGCTCGTCGCCGTCGCCGGCGTGCGGCGGCGTGCGCTGCGCCAGGCCCACGCGGAGGTCGCGGCCGCAGAGGGCCCGGCCGTGCAGGTTGCGGCAGGCGCTGAGGGCCGTCTCGTCGTCGAGGTACTCGACGAAGGCGAAGCCCCGGGGCCTGTTGCTGCCCTTGTTGTCGGTGGCCACGCGGAGGGACACCACGGGGCCGATCTCCTCGCACGCGGCGCGGAGCTCGTCCTCGCTGGCGTGGTAGGGGATGTTGCCCACGAACACCACGCTGCTGCAGCGGCACGAGGCGGCGGCGGCCATCGCTATCGATCGGTTGTCGGTCGTTCGCAGCTAGCGCGCTTAGGAGCAAGCGAGGCGTGGGTTTGGGGTTAAGCTAAGCTTCGTGTTTACTGGGAAAGGTTTGTTTATGAGGGCGCCCGTGCCGCGACGTGTGGTGACTATGGTCGGTTCGACTCGGAGGCGGTGATATCGCGTCGGCGTGTGCACCACGTGTTGTCGTCGGAACTGATGACTCGTGTCATCGTGTGGCTGCTTGCGACTTGCGAGTTGTGATGCACCGGTGTCGCGCGGCCGACACGGCCCGGCCCGGTCCGGCCAAAATAAATTCCGTCGCCCAAGTGTTGACTGAAGCTGCTGTATCCAACTGCATATCCGCAACTGGGCTTTGATGAAGATTTCAAACAAACTGAATTCTTTTAAAAGGATGCACATAGGAATTGGCAAGCCTAATGCCTAATTTTGTGCATGATATCTTTTTTTTGGCATATATTCCTGGATGTTTACCTTTTTATCACCAGAAAAGCTTCAGAGAAACTATGTCATCGACAATTTACAGTATATACATGTACTCACTCGGTTCCAAAAAGAGTGTCGTTTTTTTACTTTCAGACACCTTGTTTGACCATCCGTCTTATTCATTTTTTTTATATAAATATCATCTATTTTGTTATGACTTATTTTATCATTGGAGATACTTTAATAATGATTTATTTATTTTATAATTTACATAACAAATTTAATAAGACGAACGGCCAAACACGATGCTGAAAGTAAAAAACGTCATTATTTTTGGAACGGAGGGAGTATATGTATTCATTCATTCATCCTCTCAGCATAACATGCTGAAAACAGTGCGACACGATCACATCTTCTCCCTACAAACCGATTTGAGCGATGAAGAGGCAAGTAAAGGGAAATGCAGAATTTTATCCTTAGTGGCTCAATCCTGGATTATGACGACTATGATATGAGTACGGCATGGAGCATCAAACTTGGCTATATCAAGCGTGCGTCGACTTGTGGACAGCACAGTTGAAGCTACGAGTAGAGAAGAATAGACAGTCGCTTCTCAGTTGCGGCACGTCTCCTTCCCCCTCACCAGCGGTCGCGCCACGTGCCCGCTCACGATGAGCCGCAGTCTCCTCGCACTCCAATCCCAAGTCGACTAAGGGCGCGTTTAGTTTCAAAAAATTTTGGTTTTTCTCATCACATCGAATTTTTGGACACATAATGGAGCATTAAATATAGACGAAAAAACTAATTACACAGTTAGGTGAAAAATCGCGAGACAACTTTCGAACCTAATTAGTTTATAATTAAACACTAATTACCAAATACAAACGAAGATGCTACGATAGCCTGACCCAAAAATTTGCGCGAACTAAACGTGCCCTAACTGACGCGCCGCGCGCGGCGTGCTGGCGCGCTACGGTACGCAACGCGCAGGCAGTTCGGCAGAAGCGCGAGGAGGGAGGGCCACGTGTCCTACACCGTCACGCTCGACGGCGAGACGCGCCAAGAAAAGGAGGGCCGGTGCGGGCGGCGCCGCGGGGGTGTCCACGAGCCCCCTCTGGCATGCCGCCACGTACGTCGCCTCCTCCCCCACGCACGCCACCGCGCATCGTGCCCGTCCGCTCCGCGCTTTTAGGCGCACGAGCCCCGCGTTGCAGCCCCGGCCATCCTGCCTCCCTCCTCCTCCTCCATTTACGCGTACTCGAGAGAAGCTCCAGCCGGGGCCATTGCTTATGTTCCTGGGCCTTGTCGCGTCGTCGCCGTTACGGTGCTCTGTTCCTGGTGGTGCCGAGAGGATCCGTCGCCGTCGTCAGCGGCCGTGATGGAATTCATCGAGAAAGGATCCCCCGTCACTGGCGGAGGGTTCAGGTGCGATCATCGTTCTTGCTTATTTCCTTCTCTTCTTGTGCGTAAATCTTTTGAAAACAGTACAAATTTGCTTTGCTTTGGTTCTAGAAGCTCTCACTATCTCCGCTCCTGTTTAGCCTCATTTTTTGTGATGAAATCTGTGCCCGCCGTGTTATGCGTAGTGTTACGTGGTCTTCATCTTCAAATTGTTTCTTGGTAGATTCTTTCTTGCTACCCTGTTAATATGTTATATGCAGTGGACAGAGCTATCTGTTAACAGAATGAAGGCATGGCCTATATCTGTACCAAAATTTCTTCTCCGTGACACTGGCGAATTGAATTTGTGATTAGGCTGTATAATATTAACGCGTCCATTTGATGGTGAATCCTTGTGACCTCCAGCGCTGTTTATCTTGGCAGTGAAAATGGCAAGTTCAGCTATGGGTATGCAAGCTCTCCTGGGAAAAGATCCTCCATGGAGGACTTCCATGAAACAAGAGTTGACGGTGTTGATGGAGAGACTGTTGGACTATTTGGCGTCTTTGACGGTAAGACGCTGTTCAGGAAGCAAGTTTCACATCTCAATAAGCGTTTCAGGTTTACACATTGCGGTGTAAACGATGTCTTACTTTACATTACATCAACCAAATGTCTGACCAGTTTACTGGTGGCTGAAATTTCTACTGCTAGAGCCGATGGTCACTGACTTACTTTTTGCATGAGGGCTGGATGCAGATACTGTTTGATTGCTAACCAATTTTATCCCCCCCTGCAGGTCATGGTGGAGCTCGAGCAGCAGAGTTTGTGAAACAGAACCTTTTCACAAATTTAATCAAGCACCCAAAGTTCTTCAGTGATACCAAGTCTGCTATTGGTATTATAAAATCCCTGTGCCTGCTAGAGCTTTGAACAGAAATACTTCACTCCTGAATGAACCCCTGTGATCTCCTGCAGCGGAAACTTACACTCACACGGACTCGGAGCTTCTGAAAGCTGATACCAGCCATCACCGCGATGCCGGGTCAACCGCTTCCACGGCCATTCTCGTAGGCGATCGCCTGTTAGTTGCAAACGTTGGGGACTCCAGGGCAGTCATCTGTAGAGGAGGGGATGGTAAGTCAAATTCTCTTGGACATATTCCATCCTTGGTTGCGGTTTGCAGCTGTTCTGCTGTAGAGCTGAAGTTTCTTCATCTTCATGTCACTAACGTGTTAACACAAATACACCATGTATTCTATGAATTAATAAGCATAACTAAATGGTAGCATATACCTTTTGTGTTCTGTTTTTCTAAGAAACCACAAGTCCTCCATTAAAATTTCTTGGTGATGATGCAGCTGTAGCAGTTTCAAGAGACCACAAGCCGGACCAGACAGATGAGAGACAGAGAATAGAGGAAGCAGGAGGTTTTGTGATGTGGGCCGGTATGTCTTCGTGCCCTTGGTTTACAGGCCACCACTGAATGACGAAGTTATTGGAAAATAATTGTTATTGTTACTAAAAAAACAAAAACTTTATGCAGGAACGTGGCGTGTAGGTGGCGTCCTTGCTGTTTCTCGAGCATTTGGGGACAAGCTCTTGAAGCAGTATGTGGTTGCTGATCCAGAGATCAAGGTTTGTGTTCTTTAATCTTAGTGATAGCCTTGGGCCATTAGTAGGAAACTCAAATGGGCATAGGAGAGCTCTCTGGAAGCGATTGACTTGGAAGATCGCTGCTTGGTGCAGGAGGAGGTGGTGGACAGCTCGCTCGAGTTCCTCATCCTTGCAAGCGATGGCCTCTGGGACGTGGTGACCAATGAGGTAACAGACCACGAAACGAAACCCATTCATTCATCATCTGCGATTCTTCCAGGCGCCTCACTGCTACGTTGGCAGGAAGCCGTTGCCATGGTGAAGCCGATCCTGGACTCGGAGCAGGCGGCCAAGACGCTCCTGGCGGAGGCCTCCCAGCGCGGCAGCGCCGACAACATCACCTGCGTCGTCGTGCGCTTCCTGGAGCAGCACAACGGGCTTGCCGGGGCCACCAACGAGCAGGCATCGTGAGATCATCCTGGTGCCGGTGTTGTTAAAGTGCTAGCGTGGTCATTGCAAGATTCCTCATGTTCGTTCACAGGGCCAAGCTGCTGCTGCAGTTGATTGTAATGTGCATAATGTGCCGAGTTGATGCTTTAATTTTAATTTGGGGATTGTTTGTACAAATAGTTTGCTGCAGTGAAATGAGATGCAATGTTTGCGTTTGGGCTCCGCATTACATGATATTTAGAAAATTAAATCATTTGGGTTCTTATTATCTTGTTGCCCACATTGATAATCATCCATATTATCTTGTCGCCAAAATTGTTATAGCAAAGCAAAATCACGAGTGGGGATGGTTGGGTTGCTCAGGTAACCGCTCAGGAGGAAACAACGCAAGATTATTTCCCAAGCTCACGGAGCAGAGCTCTCAGCACATGAGATCTCATCATCGCAACACGCCAACACCGCTTCCACAGAACAAACGAAAACGCCACAGAACAGCTAAGAAAACACAGGCCAGAAAACGCGAGTGGATCAGATCTGGGTCCAGAGGAGGGAGACGAGGGGCTCGGACTACTTTTAAGCTCAGCAAGGCAGGGGGGATTGAACCCGCCGCCGTTCAGACGAGCGAACCATAGTTTTTCGTCATCGCCGTCCTCCTCCCTCCTCGTCAAGACCCAACAAGCCTCACCGGCAAACGGAGCCAAGGAAACACGAACACGAACCAAAACGAAAGGGCGGCGCGAAGAACGAACCAATTACACGACCCAAAGAGAGAAGAACAGACAGCAAGCCCAGCTTAGAACCCCGTAATGAGTGGTGGACTGAGCAGACCATGGCGGCGCCGTGGAGCCGGCGGCGCGGCGGAACAGGCGACGGGAGGAACCCTATACTGGGGCGATGTGGACTGGCGGGTCGCTTTATAAGCCGACCGCTCGGCGAATGCCCACGGGGTCTCGTTTATTCCCGTACGTGCCACCGTCTAGTGGGCCGTGATCTCGGCCCGTCCGATGGAAGGCTTAATTCTCCTGGGCTGAGAATTTTGATGAGCCTCGTTTTCAGGAATTCATGGACACAAGTTCCTGTGGACTGGACAGAAAGTTCTTTTGACTTGTGCTAAAGAAAAAGTTCTTTTGACGCTCAACTACGAGTCCGATTTCGCTCAAAATCAGATGTTGGCACCTCCTTGACTTTTGAAACATTTATGTTTTAATCTATATACCTAATAATAAAAAGGTAAAATTTCAACCTCTTTTTTGTCTGGGCCGTTTTTCGTCTGGCCCATTCAATGGCCCACCTGTCTCGCTTACATCGGCCTTCAGCAGCCCATTCGCTCGCATGTGAAAGGCCCGCTCTCTCACGTTCCTGACGATGCACTCGCTCCCGTACGTGCATGCCCGACGTGGCGACGCTCCTCCGCCCCCTCCCCGTTGCGGTGGCGCACGGCGTCCATGTCCACGCGCCCCCGGCGGCCATCAACGACCCCGCGCCCTCCCCCGCCGCGCCAATCCATCTCGGCCTCCCGGCGGCCGGCCCATCTGCGTCTGCCTCCCGGCTGCCGACGGCTGGCGCACGCCGTCCTCGCGCCCATAGGTATCGGCCTCCCGGCGGTCGTCTGCCGGAGGTCGCCGTACATGGCCTCGCTCCCTCCTCTGCAGCGGTGGCGTCGCACGCGAGACACATCATTCAATATTAAATTAGACTATGTTGATAATTTAGAGGTCCGACCTTTATTTAAAGAGATCAAAACTCATGGATTCGAGTCTGCCAAAGATGTGAATGAGAATTCCCCATCTCCTCCATCACCATCCATCCAGGTATCAAATACAAATAACCCACACTCTCCTTGGAGCCCAATAACTGTCCTGATGTTCTCAATCCAATGTTCCTCATCTATTATTTCTCCCATATTATTTGCAGAAATTACTCACTGAATTGATAATTTTTTTTCATTTTGCAGACTGATTTGGGCATTGTTATGGATTCAAATGTTCAGTACTCAGAAGAAGAAAACTGTTCTGCGGATGAACACATGATTGACAATAAGCATCCAGGAGAAATTGAACAAAAATACAAAAATGACCAAACACAGAACACTAGTAGCAAGATGTATTATAGAGATGCTGGTTCTTATCTGATGCTCTTTTATCTGCATGGTTCAAAGTCTCCTATTTTTATTACTGCTACTGGTTAAATTTATGTCAAAAGGTTCCTAGCAGATATTATTGAGTTACTGTATCAAGTCGAGTTTCATTAGGGAGTTACATTGCTATACAAACAAACTTCATTTTGTGTTTCAGGGCAACACTTTCCACTAAATGCTTCTGTTTATGGTCAACAATAAGGCAAATATGTACTATTCCTTATTATATTTGGTAGAGAAGTGTATATTATCATAATATTCTAGAATTTGACAAGACTATAAGCTTTGAGACTTGCTTTGTTAACCCATGGTTGAGCAGCATGATCTAATTAAATGTTTACTCCAGTTGAATGTTTGTGGCCACATAGAGCTGCAAATTGTTTGTGAATTGCATAAGCATGGTTGTTAGCTAATGGCATCCAATCAATAAGTACTTTTTTTAGAAATCTTTCTGACTGGAAGAGGACACAGTTCTTGGTAGCAAAGTGAGAAGTTCCTCTTCTGCTAGATTGCACTTAACTATAAGCAAAATGATATGTTAACTGGCCTTTCGACAATTCGGCATCGAGTTTTGAAAAGAGTTATTTGTGACTGGTGCAATGAAAATTTTGCTTATTTCATTTTTCTGCTGGGACAAGTTTAGTTGGGATGCAAATGGGCTACGCTTATTGATGGACTGGTTTGGTTTGGATTGCAAGAGGAAACAGTTTGGTGTGGTCTAAGAATGGATTCATTTCTTCGGGTCCAAACGGTTTGAACCCTCTGGTTTTGATAGGGGAAAACAGCAAGGTCGCTACTTAGTTTTCCTTCCCCTTTTCGTGCTAATTCTTTTGGTTTGTTGGACCCAAATGCTTGGGTGGTACATGTTTCACAATATTAGTTGGTGTTTAAATATATGAAGAAAAGTTCCAATTTGCTTTTGATTGTGGATGGAAGGAGGTTTTAGAAATTGTCCAAGCTAATCACACCAGTTACTTGGCGATGAGCATTTCTATCTTTTCATTTTTTGCTCTTGTGGAAATCGGCACTAGACCACATCCATCCAGTATCAAAAGGTATCATGCTTCTGACTTTCCAGAATCTGCGGTAAAGTAGCTTACCTGTTTGGTTCTTAGAGATTCCAGTTCATGTGGTCATTGGTAAGTAGATTCTTTTAAGTATGCTTTCCTGAGACATTTTTTTCTCTTCATGTGTTTCCTTACCAATGCCTGGCATTTCCATAAGAGCCATGTTAGCTTCATCTGTTTTCTTATGGTTCTAAGGTATAGTAATATTGGCTCTGATCGGAACTGCTACTTCCAGATCTGTTCTCTTATGGTTCTAAGGTATAGTAATATTGGCCCTGATCGGAATTGCTACTTCCTGGTTAGCTTGAGCTTTGCAGCGACAACAGCATGATAATCAAATCAAGCTGATCATTTGGCTTGCATCAATACAATCTCTTTATAGATGCCCCATGTTCCTTTTGATTATAAGATACAAGGGGTCTACTGATACACTTTCCCCTCTCAGTTCTTTGTTGATGATGCTCGGCTTGTTGCTCAGCCAATAACTAAGTGAAATATTATTGACTTCATTTGGTACTTTTGTGTTTCTACCAGATTACTGCTAGGAGCCTGTTCAAGAACCTGACCCAGAAGGCACTGTCGTTTCCCCAGAATGATGAATTATTATGGAGTAGTGCAAGAAGTCTGGGGATTCCAATTATTAGCTTGGCCACGTGTATCACCGGACTTTGATGGTGGTCAGAGCATCTCTAAGGGACTCTCCATATCCTTCCTAAATGCTAGGAATAGCGATTTTAGTGAAAACTACCCTCCAACAGTATTTCTAAATGGTCATCCAAATATAGACATATTCTATTCCGGATTTTTCGCTAGCCAAAAATAGAAGACGAGAATGGCTCTCTAGAGTGCGCATGAGAAATAGAAAAACTGTTGGAGAGTGAAAAGATATAAAACCCGATTTTTATGCAAATGACTCTTCAAATGATGATTTAGAGAGTGAGATTTAGAAAGACTGTTGGAGATGCTCTTATTAGATTCTCGGTTGTTTCCTTATTTGGAACATTGGCAGTTGTATCATTTGAACTCTGATTAAGGTTGATGGAGACATGGAGTTGCACTTAGCCGCTTACCAATTGTGTTTGGCATTCCGGTTGTAGACTACTTCAACTGATTGTCCTTATCACCTTATTTCTCAACCAAATTGATTTATTTATCTCCCGTTGCAATGCACGGGCATATTTCCTAGTAATATTAGAATCATGCCCGTGCGTTGCACGACACCACAAATTTTTGCCCACACTTGTAGAGGCGGAGTTGATCATTTTCAAAAGTTGATAAAGGTTAATATGTGATTTTGCATTGGGAACCCTAAACTATTTTCAAATAAAGACGGGATCCTCCTCCGTCACATATGAGGGAGGTCCATTGAATTGGGGATGCTAAGCTGCGGCGGTGCCGATCCTGCTTGGCCTTCTTGGCTAGGGTTTAGTGGGATTTGCAGACGATGGCGGCCACAAATTGCCGGGGGCATGATAGCGCACTTTGTACAAGAATTCATGGAGGACGTGATCGATCCCCCCCCTCTCTCTTTTTTGCAACTCAGGGACTTCATTCATTCATTAAGGGCAACTCCAACCTATTCCTCAAATTTTAGCCCCATATCTCCTGAAAATGAGAGTCCCTCGTCCATATTCAAGCTCCTACTTCTCAGCACACTCCAATCGATCCCCTAAAACTTTTCTATTTTACACTATATTGTCATGTGTCCCACTTATTGGGCCCACTTGTCAGCCTTGTAACAAGAGAGGAATGAGGAGTAGGGGAGATGATGAGGGACTCCTACATCTGGGGGTTCAGGAGAGAAGAATGAGAGTGCC